CCGACCTGGGCCGGTTCACCCCTCCTTAGGCAACCTGGTGGCCCTCGGCTCCCCGGGGATCACCATATTGATGCCGAACTTAGTGCGGACACCCGATCGGCATAGCCCACTGCAGCCCAGAACTCCTGAGCTCAAGCGATCCGCCAGCCTCAGCCTCCGGAGTAGCTGGATTACAGGCTCGCGCCACCGCGCCCGGCTGCTGTAGCCGCCCTCTCCAGCTTACTAGAGCCGCTTCGCGCCGTGACGTCACCCGACGGGAGGGGGAGCAGCAGACAGGGCGGCTCGCGCGCTCGCTTTCTCTGCGCCTGCGCCTGCGCCTTTCGCCCTTTCCTTTTCCTTTTCCTTTTCCTGTTCGGCGTCCGAGCCACGCGAGGGGCAGCCGCAGCACCGCCATGGGCCACCAGCAACTCTACTGGAGCCACCCGAGGAAGTTCGGGCAGGGATCGCGCTCCTGGTAGGTCTCCGACACACACAGCCTCCCCGACTCGCTCTTCGCGGCGCCTGCCGGGACCAGCGCCCATCTGCACGAGGCCCGGCCGGCCCTGGCAGCCGCAGGAAGGAACGGAAGCGCCCGACAGCAGACAGAGGAGAGGGCGGGGGGTGGGTGGATGGATGGCGGGTAGTGCTTCTGGGATGAGGGGAGCCGGGAAGCGCCTGCGTCCGCCTCACCCGGCCTCCCTCTCTTCCTCCCGCAGCCGCGTCTGCTCCAACCGGCACGGACTGATCCGCAAGTACGGCCTCAACATGTGTCGCCAGTGCTTCCGCCAGTACGCCAAGGACATCGGCTTCATTAAGGTGAGGGGGAGGGCGGCTGTGAAGGCCCCAGCCATGCCCCGCGCTTTCGGTTGCCCGCTGCCGCTGCCCCCTCCGTTGCCCAGAGTTCCCTGGCAATGCCCACGACCTCTCTCTCCCTCGGTCTCCTGGCTCTAACGGCCATGGGCAGGCTAGGAAAGGAAATCTGATGGAGTGTGTAGTGTTGCCATTTAACAATTAATCAATGGAACAGCTTGCCTCTCTGGGTTGTTGGTACTCCCATCACTGAAGGTTTTCAAAAATAGATTGCAGAACCACTTGACCAGCATGGTATAAAGTCTTTCCGAGGTCCCTTCCAGCTGTTATTTTATGTTCATGCACTTCTGGAAGGGTCCGCTGTTGTGGGTCCTGCAATGCCCATGACTTCTCATCACTATCCTGACTCCCAAATGCTGTTAAAAGTATAATGGAAAAAGTAACGTATTGTAAAAGTTCAAGTGATCACAGATAACAAGAAAAGATGTAGAATTGTAGCCTCCGAAGAAGGAATATTGACTCTGATTGTTTCTTTTATCTCCTTTTAGTTGGATTAATTCTACAATAATAGTTGAAGATGGCTTGAAAAGACATAAGAAGAGGTTGGCACTCTTGGAGGACTGGGCTAGCTGCTGTGCAACTGTATACAATAGAAGTACTGGGTTTTGTTTATTCCAATTATGGCAGTGTTTCCTATTAATATGTTACAACTTCCATAATTCTAGCCTTGTTGACATGTCATCTTTAGCATATATGATTATGAGAATCTATTTTTTTGGTTCTTAAATAAAAAGAATTAAAATCTAAAGTTGTGTTTGCTGAATGAATCTGTGACCTAAAGGGCATAAAAATAACACTATAATTGGATGTAGTAGTATTAGAAGTTTTTAAATCAAAATCTGAAAATCAAGTGTAAACTCACTATCCCTATTGGTTTATCCCTAAAAGTTTGCTTCAGTGGTAGTATTAGAAATTTTTAAATCAAAATCTGAAAATCAAGTGTAAACTCACTATCCCCATTGGTTTATCCCTAAAAGTTTGCTTCAGTGGTAGTATTAGAAGTTTTTAAATCAAAATCTGAAAATCAAGTGTAAACTCACTATCCCCATTGGTTTATCCCTAAAAGTT